CTACTCCAAAGCTGGGATGATAACGCGAGGGGGGAAAGAGATGATCTCTCGCCCATTAAAAGTAGCTAGCAAAAAAAAGTTTTCGTTTATTGGTGGCATGGGTCAGTTTTATAGCTTCATTTGCACACACACACAACAAGCTGGCACTGCAGAGGCCGAGGTCAGGTCGGCATTAGGCTAGAAACAAGGTGCAGGTGGTAGTGGGGGGGGGGGGGGGAAGTGGGGGTAATAACTGTCCAAACAGTGGGTGTGGCAAGTGCAAGGCGATCGGTATTTCTCAAGCGGAACCGGTAGATGGAAAACCTTCAGCATCTGCTTAAAAACTTTGAATTTAAAAACAAACCATGTTGGAAATCAAGGGATTTGGAAGTTATAATTACATTACTTTAAAGATATTTGCATATTTAGGAGATATTCCAAGAAATATTCTCAAGGAACCACTTTCATAGGACATATGTTGTTTTAATTAAACAAGCACAAAGAAGATTATTTTACAATAAATCTTCATACAAGATAGATATATATTTTCTAAGAAATATATAGAAAATATTCATAGAAATTAAATATACATTTTCCAAGAATTATATTTCTACTTGTTCTTATCTCTACGAAACTTTTACTTCCTTTTTTAAGCAAAATATAATTCTTTATCGGCCCATTGTCTTATCCATTAAGTACCTTCAGTCTGGGCTTCTGTTAACCGTGCTATCTAGTAATTATGTGGCACTCGCAAAGTGAGTAATGCCAACAAAACTCGAAAATTGTATATATTTTTTTTGTATAATCATTGAAAATTTAAGACAGTGCCTGCCATACGCTTCCGAGAAATCTTTCCCACAATCAGTGCTTCCAAACGAAAGTCACGACCCAAGAGCGAGCATTATTTTTTTCTCCCCGAGCCGATGGTCATCACTATCATCACAGTGCGGCCAATAAGTACGTGGCCCATTGTCATTAGCCGTGGGCATTAATTGCAGGTACACTTACTCACCCATGAATAGCACTCTGACCTTAATGCATTCAGTTACACAGGTTGATAAGAAAAGGAAAAAATAAAAGAAATGCATTTTGCAAATGCCCCATAGCAAACGAGGGTCGGAAAATGTGGAAGAAAATTACGGAAATTTGATAAAACCAAGTGGAAAGCTAGGAAGTTTCCACTTTAATTCTGCTTATTTCTTATCTGACGGGGATTTTTCCCTTTAAGAAGAATTTTAAATTCTTATCAGTATTTCCTGGATTTCCTAGAAACTTATCAAACTGAATTTATTTGAGATTGTTTACTATTATTTTTTATATTTAAATGTTTTTCAAATGGTTTTCCAACTCTATCAGTAATAACTATGCCCCAAAACTCATTGTTTTACTAACAAGTTAAAAAAAAGAATTGCAGCAACAAAGAACAAGAATAAGATGAATCTTCCAATTTGAGATTCAACGGATATTTGCACGAACCGGTTTAATTGGCTCGACCTCCAATCAGAATCAAGTTCACGAACGCAACTGGAATTACTTGCGCCAGCTTAAGACCCCCAATAAGTAAATAAGTGTGTTCGAAAAGTGTGCATGGAAAACTCAAATGGAAAACATACCTTGTGTGGCGAAAGACCTTTTGGGAGCTGGAGTTGGCCGCTGCAGGAGATAAAGAGAAAACAACAAAAATTTCATTCGCTGGAGATGAGCAGCACCAGGATTAACGCGAGTGTGTGTGTGTATGCGGCGAATTAAAGTGACCAACAAAAACATTCACACATATACGGATGAACGCTAACTAACACACACAGCCGGGTACGCACGCAGGGAGCAAGAGCGAGAGAGGGGATATACGAAAATTGAACACGTTTACCGCGATTCCGGCAGGGGTTTGTGGGGTGTGCCGTGCCCGTGCCCCGAACCCGAACCCGTAAGGCCCCTAGAATGTGGGCGACCCGGTTTATTTACACGCCCGGATTTACTTATACTTATTATTATGGACCGCGCCTGCTGCACTTTCTTCTACAACCACAGCTCTCTGTTGCGTACGCGCGTGTCCCTCAGTGTGTGTGTGGGTTGGCGTATCAAGTGCACACGTATGCATCCGGGTGTATTTGTTTCTTTTCTTTTCTTATTTTTTCAACCGAAAACTCTTACGATTCTTATTGCCCGTTGACTCACAATTGCACTTGCACCAGCACTAAGTATTCGTTAATAAATAATTAAATCATCCGCGACGCGACATTCCTCGGCTGAAATATTTTTTTTTGAGCTGACGTTTTGGCTTGGTTGTCACTTTGGTTTGGTGCTGGCAGCTTAGCCATTTTCGGGCTAGATCTAGCGTTTAGTATCGGACCTGCTGTTATTTAACATTTTACATCATACACGGCTAGACAACCATTTTACTTATACATGGGGTAAAACTCACTTTTGGGGTAGAATTCTAGTACATAGGTTAGATTTCTCATGTAGGAGGTAAAACTAAAATACATTAACAGACCTGCTTTCATGACAAGAATTCTCTTTCGTTGGCTGTCGTGTGATTATAATTAACAGAATTCGATATAAGCAATATATCGATAATTTAAAGTGAAACTCTCAATTAGCTAATAGCTATAAGTTATAAATGCAGCTAATATTTATCGAACTAAGTACATTTAGGATTTATTTTATACGAAATAGGGGTAAAGAATCGGAGCTTGTTAAATTCTTTTCGATTGTTACAAATTCCAAGCCAATTGCATATATTCTCACAATTGAAACAGTATGTGGTCGTTTTCTTAATGGGAAACTAAAACGCGCCAACACGAATTTCCTAACGCCATCAAACTTTCTGGTATTTTTGAATTTGGCGCTCATTTGCACCAGTCTTAAATTAGCTCTTTCTCTCTCGTGACGTTGCCACATTGAGTGTTTGAAGCTGAGATGAATAGTGCTACCAGATAACGCAACAATTGGAAACGCGAATTTACAAAATGCGAGCCTGAATTAAAAGGTTCAATTTAATATTATTTGCATTTTGACGAAAATAATAAAATGTAATATTTACATTTAAAACAAACTAACAAGTAAATTGGTTCTATTCTATTTTGGTGATTGAAGAAGTTATAAAACTTAAATATGTTGCAAAGGCAAATATAATATTAAGTTATTTATATCTAACAAGAAAGTTAGTTAACTGATTATACATACTTACTGGTCATATTTACTTACTGGTCAAAGCTAATTACTGGTCATTGATACATACTTTTTAGAGTTATTTACTCTTCAGAGTAATTAATGTTCATAGAAACTTACTAATCATAGTTAATTACTTATCATAGTTCTATAAATCGTCCGATTGTTCCCACGTCAGCTATATATATGTATGTATATATATAATCCACCGATTTGGCATTCTCCGATTTATAAACTTGTAAAATTATATTGAAGATCAACTGCATAGTTTTATTTAAATCGCTTTCTCTTAAATTTGTTCCAAAATAAATGTCGTACATCTGTGCATATGATTCCCAACAGGTTCTAACATCCCCGGAACAAAGTGACTGCTGCCAGCCAAGTCTCAGAGAAGTGTTGTGTTACAAAAGTTGCAAGTCATTGTTTATTAGAGTTCAAAGTTAATAACTGGTCAACATACTTATTGGTCATAGGTACTTACTGATTATAGTTACTTACTGGTTATAGATACTTATTCCTCAGAGTTACTCATGGCTCATAGTTACTTGCTGCTCATAGTTAATTAATGATCATAGTAACTCACTGGTCATAGATACTTATTGTTCAGACCTACTCAATGCTCATAGTTACTTGCTGCTCATAGTTAATACTGATCGTAGATCTATAAATCGTCCGATTGTTCCTATGTCAGCTATATATATGTATATATGTAGTCCACCGATTGGCGTGCTCCGATTTATTAACTTGTAAATGTATATAGAAGATCAACTGGATAGTTTCATTCCAATAACTTGCTCTTAAATTTGTTCCAAAACAAGTCTCGCACACTTGTGCATATGATTCCCAACTGGTTCAAACATCCCCGGAACTAAGTGACTGCTGCTGGCCAAGTCTCAGAGAAGTATTGTGTTTCAAAAGTTGCAAGTCATTGTTTATTAGTGTTCAAAGTTAGTAACTGGTCATACACACTTATTGGTCATACATACTTACTGGTCATAGACACTTACTGATCATAGATACTTACTGATTATAGTTACCTTCTGGTCAGAGATACTTATTGTTCAGACTTACTCACTGCTCATAGTTACATGCTGCTCATAGTTAATTAATGATCATAGTTACTTACTGGTCATAGATACTTATTGTTCAGAGTTACTCACTGCTCATAGTTACTTGCTGCTCATAGTTTATTACTGATCATAGTTCTATAAATCGTCCGATTGTTCCTATGTCAGCTATATATATGTTTATATATAGTCCACCGATTTAGAATGCTCCGATTTATAAGCTCGTAAAAATATATTCATAGAAGATCAACTGGATGGATTCATTTTAATAGCTTGCTCTTAAATTGGTTCCAAATCAAATTTTGAACATCTGTGCATATAATTCCCAATTGATTCTAACATTCCCGGAACGAAGTGATTGTTGCCGGCCAAGTCTCAGAAATGTGTTGTGTTACAAAAGTTGCAAGTCATTGTTTATTAGTGTTCAAAGTTAAAAACTGATCATACATACATACTGGTCATAGATACGTACTGGTCATAGTTAATTACTATTCATTAAATAGATAAAAATGTATACAAATATGTTATATACAGCAAAAGTTATAATTTTTTTTCCAAAAATGTTTTGATTGTTCCCATAGCAGCTCAATGATATAGCCACCGATCGGGCCGTTTTTTTTTTAAATGTGTTTACCCTTAATTAAATTTTAATATTATATAATAATATAAAACAGCTTTAAAGAAAATTATTATTTTGCCACATTGAAGTTTCTTTAAGGGAAAACCGACTTCCAAGCCATTAAATTGTTCCCTTTTGTGTTGTTTGTTATTAAAAAATGCGCCTTAATAGTTAAATATATCGTTACGTTTATTTTTCATTTCGTTTTGTTCATACAGGCAACTCTTACAACTAGGTTAACTAGACAATAATTACGCGTAAATAAATGTTTGCATATATCCAAATACAAAAAACAGTATAAAAACTATGATTCGCTATGCTTAGAGGTTGCAGCAGCAGGTTGGTCCGTTGCATTTGTTAAAGTATCACACGCCGATTTAAAGAAAAGGGGGTTTTTGGGTTTACTTGCAACTAAGCGATATACATATAAGTAACATAAAATCACATTTGATTTAAATTAAGCCCAAATACTAAAAGCACCCGCACTAGTTCGTCCCGCGATCAGTTCGTTTTGATCTTGCGCTTAAGCATAAAGTAGGCCAGCACCTTGAATAGCGCAATTTGGGCCAGGATCATCATGATGTTATAGCCAAAGTCGCCCTGCTCCATTCCAAACTGACGCAGCACGGTGATAGCGTTCCTAATATATTTGTTTAAAAATGTATGATTAATAAGATTATTAAATATTATTTCTTCATATTAAACTCACTTAAAGTGGCAGTAGAACTCCGTGGGTGGACATATCAACTGTTCCCTCTGATTGCCATATAAGGATATAACCATATTCTCCAATGCATAACGTAAAGGTGATATATAGGCAATAAACCGCATGGCTGCTGGAATGTGATTGAGCAGGATGAGGAACCCTGAGAACATTAGCATGAAACATGTCGAAACAGCACCCACAAATGTTCCATTCTGTAAAAGGTAATGGTTAATATTTCGATCTAAAAAAGGTGAATCTCTAGAAATAGGTTCTTACCACTGGATTCATTACAGTGCCAAGAAGTACACCCAAACCATCTGCACAGATCGTAACCACAACGGCACTCAGCAAAAACTTTACAAACCGATCCATTTCAATGGGTTGTTCGGTCATTAAATATCCTATCGTTATGTATACAGTAGAGAAGATTATCTGGAAATATGGAAATAATAATTAATTATATTTTTTAGGTACTCTTTTTAGTTTATACTCACATGAACTGGAGTAGAGGTGATAATGGTGGCAAGGTAATACGTTCGAAGTTTGTACCAATTGTTAAATGTCTCCTTTTTAATAATTTCTATCTCGGCGGGATCTGCCATATATACAACTTATATACTGATCTATATGAATTGGAAAATTCTTTAACTTACATTTCAAAATTCCAGGCATTATGGTGGTGTACCACAGATAGACGCAGTGTATCATAATCATGCCCACATTGGATATTTGTTTGGTGGCATTGCTGCCCGAATCACCAAAGAATAAACCGATTAATATAGCGCAGAGTATGTGAATGCCAAGCTTCAAGTAGATGACCGTCTTGAAAATATAGTAAAAAATTTTTAATATAGTTTACTATAAATATTATTTAGTTAAAGTTAACAACTCACCCAATCCCTGAAGAACTGCAGGTGACACCGACCTATAAGCAGCCAGAGTCGCATATATTCCGTGGGAGGAAATATGTGTCTCGTCAGTTCTTTGGACGATTCCATGTGCTGGATTTCGATCTTATGGACCTGCGGCTGTGCCTGTCCCGGTGATTGGGATTCATTGAACTTTGCCACCTGAGCTTCACTGGGCGGTTCCGCAGTCTCGCCCTGCATCAGTTGCTGATCGTATCGCCAGCGAGTGTCCTTGGCGCCCTCGGCCAGGGCCTCTGTATGATCATCATAGTCACCATTCACGCATTCCAGCACTGAAATAATTAACACCTTTTTTTAGTAAAAGTCCTTAACCCTTTGTTTTGCTAGTTCTCAGAATTGTATCTGATCGATATTTATTCATGAGACTTAAAGTGATATTAAAAGCGAGTTTTTAAATGACTAAAAGTATTTTTTAAAGCCTTCTATGGAAGTAGATATATAAATTGCAGGTGAATTAAGGAGTTGTGTATTATGAAACCATTAAAATGTATAATCCAGCTAATAAAATCTCCAAAAAATAACTCATAACGAAGGGGAATCTGATAAATAAGTCATTAAAGTTAGACCAGAAGTGATTGTAACAAGTGCTATATGATGACTTAATTAACTCAAGTTAAGTAGTTATCTGATATGATGCAGTGCCTCCGTAATCACCAGTTACAAAAAGGGAAAGGGAGGCGTCGTGACGCTCTACTCTACTCACGGAAGTCCGCGGGATTGTGGTATGGGGGGCACTCCAGGCCGATGCCACTCAGGAACATGACCGTATTCTGGGGCGTGCCCTGATAGGTGCACTGACCCCCGCTCAGCACGTAGATCAGGTTGAAGAGATTGTAGATATTCGTCGATGGCTGGTGGATCGTGCACACAATGGTGCGCCCCTCGTTGGCCAGACTGCGTAGCAGCTGAATGGTGTCGAAGGAGGAGGAGCTGTCCAGGCCACTATATGAGGAAGATTGGGAGATCAGAGATCAGGTTCAAGGTTGGGCTTCTGTCAACTGGTTATGCACCGAGGTTTGGGTTTGGGGCACCTCTCACTCACGTTGTGGGCTCGTCTAAAAATAGCACCGCTGGATTGTCTATCAGCTCCAGGGCAATGGACAGACGCTTCTTTTGGCCGCCACTCAGGTTGGAGCATCTCGTGTGTCGCGTCTTCGTCAGCTTCAGGGAGTTCAGCAAGTAGTCAATCTGTAAATCAAAAGTCAATTAGTGGTGGGTCTTATTGTACATAATTTAATGGCAAACTCACTAGGGCTCGCTTCTCCTTCAGGTTGACACATTTGTTGGAGATTTTTAGTGTTGCCGCCATCATCATGGTTTCCTCCACAGAAAAGTAGGGAAAGAAGTGATCGTCCTGCATAATGTAACCGCATAACTTCCTGGCTTTGCCAATCTCAATCTTGCCAGTGACTCCGGTTTTCGTCAGACCCGTGAGGATGTTCATAAGACTAGATTTACCTGCCCCCGAGGGGCCCATAATGGCGGTTAATTCGCCGGACTTGAAGGTACCAGAAATGCCCTTTAGCACTGATTTCTTTTCTGTAAATATGTAAATAAAATAAAATGTTTTAAACATTTATTTATATAAAGGTTCAAATAAACTAATTTGAGACATAGATATACCCAAGTTACTTTACAATTAATATATAAATTACTGTTCAAACTCAACTCTAACACTTTAAAGTTCAATAAACAAAATAATTTCTAAATAAACATCAAATTATATTAACAAGTAATATAAATTAAATAAAAAACCAGTTATCTGGCAAATCTGAATCAAAATTTTAGATCAAAATGCTTTTATCAAAATCAGACAATTATGGCTTTTTGCTGTTAATTAATGGCTACATTAATGTCACACATTCCGGCTCTGAATAAGATCCCATTTAAATGTCTCTCATTTAACGTTTATGATCTGCAAAGCCTCAACCTAATTACTTAACCCTCGCCCATGTCAGATTTCTGCAATAATAGCAACTATAGTTAAGTGAAATTAAGTTGCTTGTTAAAAAAATTTAACAGGAACCATGAAAAATAATGGCAATAAAGTGAAGCACTCATTGCACACACCATAAGAAATATGTACAAATACTATTATATTAAAAGTTAAATGGGTCAATCTAAGAGCATATATTGTTTGTCTTTATTGTTAACATTTAAGTGGCATTTTGTGATAACATTATAGTCTTTTGACTTAAGCTTATCAGCGCACACAGCACCTGTGATCCGGGATCTTTGATCTTTTTCCGGCACACTTTAAGTGCGACAAGAGATAGAGCATTTGCACTTGAAACTAGCGCAACACTGAGAGAAAAAAAAACTATCACAAAAAATAGTAAAATTCTTCAAAATCAAATTTGTATCGTTATATATGAAAACTGAGCAAAGTGTTTTGAAAATAATTTAATTACGATGGTTCTTTATAATTCTTATTTAAAAATTAATAAATGAAGTTAATGTAAAGGCTTCTTTCTCAACAAATTATATTAAAGGAACCTGTTTCCTTTTTTATTACATTATCACAATCTCTTTAGTAAGACATATTAAAAATACACTTAATTTCGTTGGTATGCTCTTCACTTTCTTAATCTCTATCACTTTAGAAATATGTATTTTATTAGACATGATAAAATTTCCTTAAATAAGACTGTTTACTTTCTTTCCTTACCTTGCTTGGGTGCATTAACCTGGTAGACGAGATCTTCAAAGTGTATGTCGATGCCGTAGACATTCTTTAACAATTTGCTGCTATCCATTTTGTGTATTATTATTTGTTTTATTCACTGTACGGTGTGTGTTTACAAACGTTCTCGCAGTGATCTGTCTTGGATGCTTATCGATATTTATTTGCTTGCCGTGCACATTATTTACTCATATCAAAATAAATTCGCTGAGCACTTTTGAATATTGTTTGCCAAAAAGCCTGTACACAATGGCGAGGATGGTATTATAATTATAATTTGGTTGGGGGTCAAAGGTGCAATTTGTGGCTGCTGTAGTCAGGAATTATATCATCGCGAATTGCCCAAGTAAAAGCTTTTACGTTGGTAATTAGAGCGCGTCTTTAAGAGTGGCATTCAAGTGAGGTCACAAGTTCGTGAACCTGTCGTAACCGAAACTGAAACCGAGAGTCGTCGAAGCATATATAGTTTTCACTTGATTTTCTGTTGCTTAATTAATTTTCCTTTTCCGAGAAAAACTAGTACCGGCTTTGCGCATGCGCCCCCGTTGGCTGGCTGCTGATAACTGCGGAAGAAGTCGCCGCCGACACAGCGCTATAACCTCTGCCGCTGCTGCAGTCGCTGCCTCTGTCGCAGCCGCTGTCTCTGCCTCTGCCAGCACAAAACAAAATACAAAATACAAAAAAAAAATATATATATATAAATTTATTATAATAAGGCATTCGCATATCAAATACATTTCGGCAATGCAAAACGCGCTGGAAGTCAACAATCGAGCCGGCAGAGGTGCGTTAAAATTCAAGTTTAAATCAAGCCGCCTCTCGCCTTTTATTGCTTATATTTATAATATTTTATTTCGATTTTTTTGGGGAGCTCAAAGAATAACAGACAAATTGGTATTCGAATTTATGACTCAGGTGAAATAACGTATCACTCACACCTGCCTATCCAAACAATTATAAAGGCGAAAGCTATAAACAACGACCTTGCCCAGCAGAAGCAGAACACATCTAAAAATTCACATATGTTTATAGAAGAGAAAACAATAAAAAAATGAACTAAAAATTTATGTGCGAAATACCATTCTTGTGATTTGTTTAAATTCAGCAAAAAAAAGTAGTAAACAAAATGTGCGAGAACATTATTTTTAACTGAATTGTAGAAACTCTAAAATTTTTAAACTAATTTTCTTTATTTGTATATTTCAATTTTCAAATAGTTTAATTAATTTATTAAATATTTAATTTTATTATTTTCTTCTTTCATTATAAGCCATTGTTTGTTTAAAGATCTACATACTTCTCTGTAAAATTATCCGCATTCATTTCCCACCCATTAATTTCCCCATATAACGAAAATGCCAGATTTTATTTACATTTTCTTGTCGCATTTGACTTAGTATTCTCTATTTTCTTGTTTCAAAGAACTTCCGCAAATTATTCAATTAGTCATGCAACACGTAGTTCAATTCTAGGGAAAACACCCTCTACGTGACATTTCTGTTGTTATAATAATAATATCTACTATATTTTTTTTTAAAACCACAGATGCTTTAAACTCTAAGTTCCCGGCCCTTTGTAATGATCTCGGGAAATTTGCTGATTGCAGGTGCGATTACGTGTGAATTTAGGGTATGTCACACACATCTATCAGTATGCAAAAAGTGTATGAATTAATTAGTTTCAACACAGTAGGGATTATTCTGAACTTTAATGAAATATTAATAAACTTTTTCCTAGTGACTCAGTGGGTTTCCTCAAATGAATATTTTTTAAGTATTCATTTCCTATAAGGGAGCATTTTTCGTTAAATATATATTTTTCTTCCATGGGATTTAATAAAACAAAAGTTATTTTATAAATATTTGATGCTTTATTTCCTATAGTACCTATACTCTATATCCTATAATGCCTATCTCCGAGTTAAATTTAAATTTTTCTTTTTAATATTTTTCCAAAAATTCTTGCTAAACATTCACCAAACTTATTGTAACCAAAGTTGATTTTTATAGCTTTGATACATTCTTTATGATAATTCCTTCCTTCTGTGAATTTAATGGAAATAATATGCCCACATTTTTATATACATATGTATATTTACAAGGTAATCAAGTTTACCGCAATAAGTATACAGAACAAACAGTTGCTCGAGATCGGGGCCACAGCGTTCGGAAAAAAAGCTCTTTGACTTTGGCTTTCGGCAATTGCAACACCGACGCCTAATAAAAGCAACAAAAAAACACAAAAAAATTGCCAAATTGCAGCAATACATATAGAAAAAAACAGTTAATTATGTTTTTAAAAAAGAGAACGTTGCGGCGGTCAGTGAACACTGTAAACAACAACAACAACAACTTTGACACCTGCGTAAGCAGCGCAGCTCGGCGCTTAATTGTCTGTCGGTTGCTGTCGTCAAAGCGCTGCGTTGACTGAGGCAGCAGCAGAGGCAGAGGCAGCGCAGCGACGTCACTAACTAACTAAAAAAAAAGCGAGTCTGAATAGTTTTAAAATTGTATTAAACAGAAGGAGCAAGGCAATTACAGTGAGGTCTTGAAGAAGTAAACCTATAGGATATATGTATGTATGAAGAATTATTAATAATTTACATTATTTTAATAAAATGTAGAATGTATATATAAATGTATATTTCAAAATGTATATACCTTTGCAGTATGAAATTGATTTAATTGAAATTAAGGTTATAATAAATAAATTTTTTGAATAAATTTTTATTAATATTTTTATATGACAATTTTTTGGACAAATCAACAAATTAAAAATCTCATAACTAAGTCAAAAATGCGTTAATTTTAATTCGGAAAGCAGTCCTATATTTGTTTTTATTATGTTAATATGGATACTCAGTTTAAATTTGAAAAAATTAAATTTTTTCTCCATTTTTTGACAGATTGAACCCCCCAAAAAATGTTCGAAAATTTGTAAATCTTTTTTTTCTCCCAGAGATGTCTAGATCGATTCAGCTGTCGATGCTGATCAAGAATATATATAATTTATAGGGTCGGAAATTATTCCTTCACTGCGTTTCAAGCTTCTACATTTTTATAATAACTTTTATTACAATCAAATTAATTATACGCTTTTTGGCAATTGCTATGATTTAAGGCCATCCAGAATATACATTTTTATTTTATGCAAAAACCTCTAAATAAAAATCTAAAAAAACGTATGTATTTAAAATAAACTCCAGAGCATCTAATTGCAAATTGGCGACCACTGTACTGGCTCTGTTAGTGGCTTTTTTTTACGCTTCGCAAATCTGTCGCAATGGAATTCCTTCTTTGAATGGCCAGAGTCAGGCTCAGATGGAGCCAGGGTTTTGAGGCTTTAGAATTATATTACGTGACCGTTGAATTAATGGCTCAAGATTTTGGTAAGCCACTTGGCCGAACCAACCTTGGGTTGGCTGAGAAATAATAACAACATTGGCTGACAAAAAACAAAAGCGCACGGAAGCAGCGGCAGGCGGCAGGCGGCTGGTGACAGCTCAGTACGATCCCAGTAAATAAATATTTAATATACGAAAAATTGAGGTTATCATTATGCTATACCCACTTACGGACAGTCAGCAGCTGGCCAGAGCTCCCATGGTTATCTATTCGTTTTGAAAATAATGTCAATTAAAGCGAGACAACTACCTTCTACCTTCGCGGCCACCGGTCTGACCCGCGCAGGTTCGATAAAATTACAAATGCAGCCGACTATCGGGACCGGCGACAATAACAAATAATAATAATAACAATAATAATAATAATACACAACAACAACATCGTCATCGTCAATGTCGGTTAGGTTAAAGTATAGACATATCTTGGGAAGGCAAACACTTGTGCTCAGAATTCTGGAATGCCACTTGCTATCAATTAAAATAAATTGTAATAATATTGCCTTTGACTTTTCCCCCATTTGAATTGAGTCATTCTTGGTGAATCTGAAAATGCTTCGAGTATTTGTTATTTAGTTAAAGAAATATTGTGAATAATACACTCGCAAGTGGGTTATATTATATTCTTGAGAAGTTGCTGAACAAGGCCTGAGGGTGTGAATTTGAATTTGAATTTGAAATGCGTTAAAGTAATTACCCGACGATAACTTGTTCTTTGGTAATTTGTTCAGAAAGTGGGGGAAAAATAAGAATGAGAAGAATATATTGAATTTTAAGTGAAGTTAATATTAAGCTGATTAAAATTGTCAATGTTTCTTAAAGTAGATAATAATGTTTAAATCGAGATAAATGTTTTTTGAATTTAAGAAATTAATTAAGCTGAACAACAGACTTTCAGAAATAAATAAAGCTGACATGAGAGTTGCTTAAGAAACTGCAAGAGTTTGAAAAACCTTAGAAGGATTTAATAATTAGTATACAAAATTTATCATAGGTAAAAAACAGATTTACACAGAGTTCGGTAGCTCAAAAATGGTATAGCATACATTAAGATTAAGAAATCACAATCCATGTGATTTCACGAGCACCTTAGAATGTTTTTGAAGAGATTGTAAAAAGTGTAAAGTCTATCTTAACAGGAACAAAATATATATTAAAAATTTAAACTTAATCGGGAATAATTTTCAGATACAAGAACATAAAACTTTGTTTCTAGGATAATCCCTTTAAATGAAAAGAATTAAGCTGTGTAAATGCTGTTCCTGTCAAGAGAATTAATCTTTACTAGAACTGATCTAATCTATTTTAATCTTCCCATACTTCAAATGTATGTCATTGGGTAAAGCTTATTGAATGCCAAGGCTCCGCCTGGTTAACATCATTGTCGGTTGTAAACAATAAACAATTCGCGTAATTCTTCGACTTAAATGATAAGCAAGCTTTGCTGAATTGCTAATCTATTTACGAGCATGAATCATCCGTTAGTACTCCCACTAAGTGCGATCGTTTGGTAATTATAAATTTCCCGTTTGTTTTCCGGGTGGCAGGAAAAACAGATGCCTTCTAATCTTGGTCTTGCATAAACAAAATCCAATACAAAAATAATGTATAAACAAACCGGCAAGTGCTGAAAGAGAAGTACTTGGCAAATCAATCGGTTTTGATCGTTCGTGAGATTGGAAATGTGTCTGAACCTAATGCACGTGCCAATATTGGCAAATTGTGCAATAATAATAGTTAAGAATGTACAATAACAATACATTGAATAATCGCATAACCTGATGGAACCCTTTTTCTGTGATTTACTGGCAAAGATTTGCATTCAATTAGCCGCTTGCATAACCCCAAATGCAAATATAGTAGCTCATTCATGCACCGATCTTGGCACGATGTTTACACTACGAAGAGACGCGCTATACAACAACTTAAGCAATTATCGTCTGTCAAGAGCTCAGGAAAGGTGTCAAGTTTTCATCGGTTCTGTCAGCGGATTTAGTAATACCTTTTGAAAGGTTGCAAAACTTTCTGAATTGTGGACGATGAACCCGCGACGCCATAGTGATGCAGTCAGCAATAATTTCCAAGTACTGTAACTTATTCTTATTACACGTTGTCTTGACAGTATTCCCTGGTAACCAGTTATATAGAAGTAACTTTCTCAGTATAGCCACTGAACAAGCAATAAATTAACTATCAGTAACCCCTGAAGAACTATAAAATCTAGCTTAAAATTACAGCGTATTTTAAATGTTTGTATCTCTCAGACGCTAGACAGCATTTCCCTTGCAAAACCCATTTAGATAGACAAGTACAGATCTTCTTGAGAATGCAAACAATCTTTTATTTCCGAGAAGAGATAGCAGACCCACAATTTGTCGTCGAATAGATGCTAAAGTGACGCTCATTCATGCTTTTATAATCCGCAAATAGAATTCTCCTGTGTCACCCAGAAGATACCAAAACCACTTGGCGCACAACCAGGCATACATATGAGCCCGTGGCAATATTATACAAAAAACAGAGCGGAGATATATAACGAATAAAGTGGCGACAAGGTTAAATGAAATCAAATTATGCTTTGGGCTACATATTTTTAACTCGCGTGATCATCTATTCTACGGATTAGAGGAATCCGAATTCAAGGGCATCGCTCAGCCGAGAGCCAAGACTTGGAATCAAGCAAACTAAAACTGTTGATGCGTTTTGTGGCGTTGGGCATTTTCTTACTATATATTTATGTATAAATTCGAGTAGGTTTCCCATTTCCTTGTTGCAATTGGACGGCGGCCACCGATAAGTCGTTTGTTTGCCCTAATAGATGATAAGGAGGGTCAGACTTTCGCATTGCCGCTCCCTTTTGCCCCCTGACGCACTGGCATATATGGGAAATGTATCATGTGCACTGGCAGAAAAAGTTACTAAAAGGTTGTATAAATAGAAATTTAAAAATTAAAAAAAAAATTAAGTGTCTTCAGGTTTTCGAAAATAATTTATTTAGTCAATTTTAGCTACAATTAACTTTTCATTTGTTAAGCAATGAATTCTTTTTCCTATCTCCTTTTGTTTATTAACTCTTAATATAGTGATTCATATATTTGTATATTATATTACAGAATTAAATATTTTATTCTTGGTTTATAACCCTCATAAATAATATTTCATTAATTTAACTGCAGTATTTGTGGAATATAAAAAATATTAAAGAGAAGACAATTCTATTCTGCTAAATTTGTGTTACCTTTATGGCTTAAGTTTCTCCAATTAGTCATTCGGTAATTAAAAAACAAGAGCTTTACCAACAAAATAGAATATTTAAGACTTTAATCAATAATGTTAATGTTTATCAAATTTGTTTAATGTATAAAGAAACCCTGTAAAGTAGTTCGGCATTTAAAGCATGTGAAGAACAAATTCAATTTATCAATTAACTAAGTTGAACTATTGTTAACTTTATTTTCCTTGATAGTTTTTAGGAAAATAAAGAACAGACTAATTAGAAAATTCCTTAAAAGCCCTGGTGAGACACATTTTCCTGATATTTTTCTCTCTGCAACTGAAATGACTGACTTTGTTTGCACTTGTGTTTAGATTGGGGCGCGAACTTGAAGCTCCATGCAAAGCGGTGGGTATTGCATTACAAATTGTACTTTTCCACACCAGCCGGGAACTGGAGCCAGCCGAAACCACCCACCAACCCACCGGGTGGAGCAGGCCGGAGCATTCTGCCCCACATTCCGCGGTGGTGACAATGACAGTGATGGTGGTGGTGACCCAATATGAGCGGGTGGGGCCATCTTGGCATTGGCTCTGGCTCTGGGTCTGGTTCCCGTTTCTGGCCATGTCCGCGTCTGATGACGGGTGATATCATCATCACAATTTGGCAGGGCACATAATCGCTGACTAATAAAATGCAAATAAACTGGAGTATTTGATCAAGACGCCCCAAGGATTCCGGGTCATCAAATTGCGAGGGGGGCGTATGCGTGATGGCTAATCGCGGTGAGATATATATCCAATAAAAATGGTTAATTTTTAAACCACAAAGCTTATATGCATATACATCAAGCGAAATAATCTCTAAGTGAACTTTGATCTATAAAGAATCGGCCGAGTATAAATTTGTTATGCCACGATTTGTTTATGTACATATGTGTTCGCGCCGCGGCCTGTGCTCTATTTTCTATATGATTTCATTACAATTAGAATAAGACCCAGAAAGCAAAGCGAAGGCCCCGAGAACCGGAGCATATACACCAGGAGAACGTGCCAAAATTTAAATATGTAGAATTGGATATAGAACGAACACAACTGGAAATTGAAGCATTGCCCCATCAAAGTTCAATTCTATTTTGCATTTCGCCTACATTTTCGATTTCAATTTCGATTTCTTCGACTCTTGATGGATTTCAGTTTTTCCTTTTGATTCTGTTTTCCGAATTCTCTAGTTTTTCTTTTTGTAGCAGACTCACACAAGTTGCACCGAAATATATTTATGCGATCGTCTAGATTTTCGCTTTGTTATTATTTTATTTTGTTTTTTCAAGCACACACCAGAATCACAGACACAATGCGCACAACTGGCATTTAATTATTGGCGCGAAAAAAAGCGTCCAGATTTATTTTTATAATTTCTGGGAATATGCAAAACTTTTCGTTTGTAACACGCGCGTTGAAGAACCAGAAATAATATATATATGTATATATGTATATATATATATATATATAAAGATATATATCGGTTTATAATGCTTCTCAGTTCCGACGAGGGCAAAACGCTTCCGAATCGCTCGAATTGCGACGCGAGACTGAGGCGACTTTCAGACAGCGACTGCCTCTAAGTACAACGCCGTCCGTTCGAATAGTTTATTTTCTGAAGCGCTTGCCGGCGCAGCAGTAGATATCCATGGGATTAATGCGACCGAGGGGCCAGATACCCGCATCGTAGGCTCCACTGTATCTAATGTTATTAATAAAAAGCGGCCTCTCCGCTTCTCGTTGCAAATGAGAGTCTTCGCACCCGGGGTATCCATTTGTTTATGGTATCCCGAGTGATTTGTATGGAGAATTCAATTCGATTCTCAGTATTTTCAGTATGCAAAGGGTACTGGGACAGTGTGCCAAATGCATATCACATTTTCTTGATCTTTATATGACCTTACAGAGAGGGTTTGGTATTCTTAAGGGTATTATGAAAATGGAAAATTAGTCTTAGGTAAGGTTGATTTATTCATTATCTGATTAAATTTAGAAGTGATGGTTGTTTTCATGTTTAAAATGTAAGGTTTAGATTTATGAATATATAAATATAGTTACAAGTTTAATGATAAGGGTGTAATAAATTGGGATTTGTTAAGCTAATTAGGAATATACCTAATATAGGAAGAAGGTATTATATCGAAAACATGTCGAGCAAAATAATTAATAAAATATGTATATACAAACATTTTTTATATTCATATTTAAAATATCAAAATTTCATATTTTAATTTTCTTTCTTTTATAATTTATTACCCTAGCACAGCTTACTTCTTATATTTACCGGTAAAATAAAAACTTAAGCGAACAATTATATAAATTTATTTTTCCGAAATCTAACCCAGAATATCTGCTAATTTCTCATATGTATTAAGACTCTGAAATATCTAATAATATTATATTATTGCTATAATGGGGACAATCAATTATGTATCATTTCCTCTTATTTAAAGTTAATATATTAGTATCATCAAAATATTTATTCAAAATATTCTGTAAAAAAATAATAGTATAATAAAGGACCTTATTATATTATATTATATTTGCTAGAGTATTCAGAATTTGCCTTGCTGCTGTTTTAATTTTTCCTATAGGTACTACAAATCATAGGATATAGTCTTTGCTACTTATATCCGGTAACCAGCTGATCTAGATTAGAATTTAATTTTGCATATCGACTTGCTGGTTTGTTGTCTTCCACAAAACCTTGCTCTATAATTTTCCTGTTACGGGGGATTGTGCAACTCCCTTGAATGATATTAGCTAATTAATAGTTGCTTGTTCTAGTACCTATCTTATTCAATTGTTATACCAACTATCGTCGTGGAACCTGTATGGTATAAGTAAGAAACTTACGATATAAAAATATAACTAAGAGAACAAAGTTCACTTGAAAATAAAATGCCTACGCATGCTGAGGATGGGTTAACTAATTAGTCGGAATTATTAACTTTAGTTCTCGCTTTGTTTGAAGCCAAAAGTCAAAGTTAATTTAAACAAAACGGTTGACACGTGTAAGTCTTACCTCTTAATTAATAGTTTAATGTAACACTTATACTTAAGTGGCTTAGCATTGAATCCCCATTACCAGTTTTAATTAAAGCACGGATTAGCATTTCCGATTATAAAATTAAAAATTGTCGCCTAATTAATTTAGTTTTTATTCAAAGCTATCAGTTGCGTACATTCGCAATTAAAAACGCAATTAATATTAAATATTAAATATTCAAGGATAATATTTGTTTGAGAAATTTATAGTTAAAATAATCTATAATTAATAAAATTGTTTCCTAAGAGTGTATCCTGCTTTCGCATATGACTCAAATCCCTTTCGTTTGGCCTTTTAATTAGTCGGTCTTATCTGAACAAAAAACCCTATATCATGCACATATGAAATACGACCTTCTATTTGTTAGGCCCACCCAGGGGAATACTGTTATTTGCACTTCAATAATGATGGAACGTAATGGGGACAGATACTCGTGCTGTCTGTTGATTATCAGCAAGTTACATTACAGTATAAAAATAGTATATTGAAAGCAATACCGTGTTTCACCAATACAACACAAAACATTCATAAAATAACCATAAATTAATTATTAGAATGTGACTAAATATAAATTTAGTTTTAGTAATTTATTTGCTTTTATTTTAAAAACTGTTTGGCAGTTATTTACTGACGGCGTCGGAAAAACACTTATTATATAGTTTTTTTTTTTGTGTTTAGGCTACTTGCACATTTTCCTACATCAAGTGATAAGGCTTATCATAAATAATTTGTTGACTGAGCTAATAAAAATAATATTGACTGCGAATATATATTGAAAATTCCTGTATTAATTAATATTTGTGCATCGTAGGTTAAAGGCTTTATAACTCAGTGGCAGCTACAAATATATAGAGACATTTCATACAGTTGTTTTATATGTTATATATTTTTAAAGTTGATAGTAGTAATGCTCTATAAATTAACATTCTTCACATTTAAATTTCTCATTATATTAATTACATAATTTTTTTATTATATTCAAATTGAACCAATTAATAAGTATATCTAAAGTGATAAATCATCTTAAGTCATTGAGTAAGTAAGATAATATATAGTTATTTGTAGAACATTTGTTATTTGCATTTAAAATTAACAATTTACAGCTCACAAACCTAATCTAATTTGAATCTCCATCGATTGGCGCATGTAACCTTTTAAATAAATTAAAATTAATCTACTGTCATTAATATGACATATTATATAGATGGGCTGTCCAGAGGAGTACTTTGATTGATGGACAGCAAAGCATCAAATTATTGAATATTTTTTAGTGTCTGAATCGGGGTTTTTGATTCTCAAAAGTAAGTTTAGAAAACTAGCTACGATCTGCACACTTTTTTGGCGGATCAATGGCAACGACAAATTGGCCAAAATATACACATGTTTTAATGCACAACCTGTTGCTAATTGATGACAGTAAAAAATCAAGAGTCTGCTTAATGTCTAGACAATGCTTTTGTGTCTGTGTCTATATAGAATCTATATTGTATAGAGAAGTGTGTCTTATCAAATGGAGGCAACCACAAATCGGTGAGTTTGTGAGCCGCAATTTTGCTGCGTGCCTCGATCTGACATGCGATCGTGATCGCTTTTGACATTGACATTGAATTCGAACATCGGTCGACAGCAAACAGCGCATACAAACACGCTACGAGCACCAAGACAACAGGCAGCAGAAGCAGCAATAAAAGCAAAAGCAGTTAAACAAAAACCACACACAAAAAACAATACAAAAAATAATAACAAATAAAAAACAGTAGTAGTGGAAATAGTAGCAAACACCCCAAAGGTACAACAAATACAAGAAATAGCGCAAAGCCGCAAACAGCAGAGATATAAAAAGCAACAAGTTACAACATAAACTTACAAGACAACAAAGGCAAAGCTTACAACAGAAAACAAGAGCAAAGGCAGCAAAACTAAAATTCAAAGCAATTGCAGAAATGTAAGACACAATATTGCTTTTGCTTAAATTTCAAATAAAATATAAAAAATTTATTTAATGAATCTTGAACTAAATAAATCAGAACTTGTATCCTAGGTTTCATGTTATAATATTCCCATTTTCGAATCCGTTTCATTATTTAAAGAAAAATAAATTATTGTTGTGAAATATTTAAATATTTTTGAGAGAGAGATTTATAAAATGAAAAATATCATACAATTTTATTGAAAGTAAAAGTGGATTAGAAAACAAACTCCATAATTATATATAACAAAATGAGACAATCATTCTAACAAAATTGATTCTTGCTTAACTTAAATAAAGATTTTTTCTCAGTGTAAAATAGCAATATCACCAACATCAAAAACTACACCAGCAACTACATAAGAAACAGCAAAGCCAACGACTTTTGGAACAATTTTTTTTGTTTTATTTTAAGCATACAACCAACAACCGGCTGGCCTTCCTAACCCACAAAAATTGGAATAAAACAAATAAAGCCTCTATAAAATCCACCAGCAAATATCGAAGCATAAAAAGCTAGCCGCCAAAAAAAGCTCTATGGGAATGCCGCTGACCCCGTCAAGATTCCCATTCCAAGTGCTCAAATAAAAAACTTGGAAAAAAAATTTAAAAAGAAAGAAAACATGCAAAATAAAATGTATTTCTTACTTAATTTCTTATCCATTGTTTTATTATAATTAGGTGTACTTTAGTATGTTCACTGGGGATTGGAAATACTTTAATAAAAAGCCCCAAACTATTTATATTTGCATATTGTATCTGAAAGATAATACATCTAGTATCTATAATATTAAATAGATTCCCAATTTTTGTTCTGTGTATCTCTATAATGGGTCATTTGATGACGCGTTTTTGGGAGGTCTTTGCTTTGGAGATATAATGTATGAAGTACGAAGGGGGTTTTGTGGAGGAGCAACGTGTGCACAGTCACGGTTGACTGAACTCAACGAGCTGCTCGATTCGCGCACCTTAAAAACAATCTCATTGAACTGCATCCTATAAAATTAAACTATATTTTAATCGTATTTAATGTATGGAAAGTTGTGCTCAGACCTTAATTTTAGGTAAACAAAATAAGTAATAATATGTTTCTCGACTTAAAAAGATAGATATGTTAGATAGTTTTATAAATTTTCGACCAGGAAACCCGTGACAAGGCTTTTTGTTTTTAAGTTATCTGAATGAAACTTTGCAATTAGTTTTCTTGTATATACTTTCACAAATATTATATATAAGTTGGAAGAAGTAAGTTGGAGCGGAATCGAACGACTATATCTTATAGTTCCCATGGAAATGATTGGAACATTTTTAGGAAAAAAATTATAACTTTTCCAGGTTAAAAATGAAAGGAGGCTTGACTTAGCTCTTTTCTAACGTAAATATACATGCATAATATTATATATATATTATATATAAGACAATATAATATAATAATATAATATAATTAATATTTAATATTATATATTAATTAATAATGATTAAATTGGAAATTAACTTCCTTTTGTATAATAATATAATATTGTA